TGGTACTTTTGTATGAAGTTCCTATCGTAGCGGTCAATGACAAAGATTGAGGCGAAGTAGTTAGCCAATCCATTGGGGGCATTGACCCGGCTCCACAACTCTGACGCCGTTTGGTTGACATCCCTGATGATTTTCCGGCACTCTTTTCGCTTGGAGCGGTAAAGCTCGGTGGTTCGTTCCTTGCCTGGGTGGTCCTTAGAGAAGATTTCGCTTCGGGACACCACCAGTGTAGAGGTTTTCGGCCGACGTTCGGGCTGGTCTTCGGCATGGCGATATTGGCGGTCTCAGCAGAGTTCCACCGACAGAAGCTGCCAGAACTGGCCCCGCTATCGGCAAGGTTGTCTGGGCCACCGATCCAAAGGACAGACTCGACGGTCAGCCAACTAACGGATTGGGAACCTCTCCGATCATGGCTTGGCATCGATCGTACTCGCGAGCATTTGATAGTTCGTGAATAGGAACAGCTCTCCTGTCGCACAATCTACGCAGTAGTGTTTGAGGTGTCCGGGACGAGGTTGCCCGGCTTCCACGTAGGGGGTCCTCCTTAAGATAATCATTTCTACTAGTTGGGGGAATGTGATGTCATTACTCGACCCATTATTTCCACATTCTTTGTCGTCCTTGTACGGCTCGCACTTTTTTAATCCCTCGTCGTCCTGATTCATTGCGGTTGGTTTCGATCCCACGTTGTCCACAGGGGGATAGGAGTGTACTCCAGTTTCCATCCCTCTTCCGGCTGCGATAACAAGATATCTGATATCTGGAATAACAAGATTTGTTTTCAAGATGATATCCGGTTGTTATTTTACTTTGCGACAGGGCCTCGACTGCCTCGTTGCTTAGCCGGGATGATGAAGTTTCGGTGTTCGTCGGAGTTTGCCAAAGAGCGTCGGGGGTGTCTGCCAGTTCAGATTGGTCAATAGCATCAGCACTGACAGGGCTCCGACTACCCGAGGCCTTATCCGCTGCGTTGGAGGTTGTTGTGATACTAGTGGATGTCGTGGTTTTGATAATTGAGCTAGATCCAGTCCGCTCTGCTTCTTGATTGGTCCCAGCCTCAGTAGAGGATGGTGTTGATGTAAGGTGCATGTTGATGGATAGGTTGTGGGAATTCGATTACGCGGGGTCAGACAAGACGGACTGGGTTGCGGAGGTCTAGTTTTCCATTCGAGCTGGGTCGCCCTCCACGTAATTCCCCTGTCACAGACTTCAGAATAGAGCACCTGGCACTGAAAAAGTTGTCGGTACCCTTATTTATGCACTTAGATTAACATTCAAAATCCTTCTTTTTTGCATAGAGGAAAGTAAGGTAATATGCCCAATGAGGTAGTGTGGCCAATCGCTTAAAAATCAACTTATTGAACATATTTTACAAAAAATCTGTTGCAGGCTTAATGCTTGAAGCCTACTTTAACTATCCATTTCATTTAAGTCTAACAAAGTAATATTCGAAAAATGTTAGACTAGCTCAAAATGTCTAAACTGTTATAAGATTTCTGAATCAGAAAATAAGATCTATCAGTAGTTTCTTTGAACTTATCGTTGATATTCCTTCAGCAGCTTTATAAATGGTTATTGGTTTCTTATATGACACGATGTTTTTCTAGATTTTAATAAACATTATAGATTTTCTTAACAAAATATTACTTAAGCCCATTCGGGCAATATGAGCACCACTGATATTTCAACTTAAATGCTTCAATTTTGCATTATTCCTTTCATAAATATGACTGTACCATATGAAATTAAGTTTTGAAACAGCTGCTTTGGTAAAAAAAATAGTCATTAACAAGACTGACAAAATCTAGCCTTAAATAGGCAGTACTTCTGAAATTTAATTTATTCTACAGAAAATAATTGTTTCTGACCCTTCGTAAAGCCTCAAGAGAGTAGAATATTCTTACCCGTTGTTTACAAGGTCACTCATACCACCCCGACATGGTGCTCATTTTACCCCAACAGTTTAATTTCAGTTACAAAACGAACATTTTTTAAATCTTCTTTCATAAGATTCAAAAGTTTACTTTTAATATTCAATTTGTATTCATAATGTAAATAGGGCTTGAAACTATCCATTTGGTTCAACATCATTCGAATTTTCCACTGAATTGTCTGTTATTAGCGATGATTTTCTTAAGGTGGCCAAACTGCCCCACTTTCCCCTACTTGACACAAAATAGAATGTCTAAGCTTCGGCAAGAAATCCGGTTAGGGGAGGGGCTTAAAACGTATTGTTTGTGCCGAGGACGCAAAGAAGGAGGGACTTTCAGAGTACCAGTGGGTACCAGCACCAGTTTTCAAGCATGACAATAATCATTAGAAACATTTTCATTACTCTGATAATGGTTTTTCCAGATTTTCCTCCATCGTGAACATTTTCGTGAAAAACATTGTTCAGATTAGCGGCGCCGGTGGTGTAGTGGTGAGCGTGATTGCCTCTCACCCCAGCAGGCCTGGGTTCAATCCCAGTCAGCGCCGCCGGAATGTTCTGAGGCATAACATCTCTGATCACGGAAGTAAAGCCGTTGGTCCTCGGTCTATGAGTTGATGGGTCGATAGGTAGGGTCCAGGTGTGGGAGCTGCCTTCCTGGCGTCGGTAGCATTGGTGTTCAGCACGGAAAACAAGATCGAAGGAAAACAAATCAAGGAAAAAAAAATGTTCAGATTATACTTTTCATGGATTACTGAGATAATTCCCTCGTCAATTGTATTATATATTCAGAGTGGCTACTGAAAACGGGAGAACCAGGAACTAACCGGGAATGTGATTGAAATTTCTAATTCTATTACATTAAAGTCTCCATATCTCGATATTGACGGGATCATCGAGGTATGGAGAGATTGAGAAATAGAACAAGAATAGCCTACTAGACCGTTTGAAGGGACGAGGTAACCATCGAGGAATAGAAAAAAGTGGACTCATATCGACATATCGACATATATATACGGAGAGTTGACTGTAATGAGAATTCTGAATATTTCTTCAAGCTCGAAGATCGTAATTTTCCATAGTATGAGATACTAAAAATTAAATCTGAGGTCTCAAAATATCATCAATGTCCCAAGTAATGTGTAAATAAAAAAATTGGTTAAGTTCAAGATCATGAGAACTACCCAAAATGATACCAGTGAAAATCCCAAACAATTTCCAAGCGTCAGACACGTGATATTTGATTAAATTTGCAATCTCGAAAGTTTTAAGATGTCCAATGTCCGGCATTTTGAATATGATTATTAATTTTCTGCCAAATTCCTCCATGGTTGGAATTACGTCCAGCGTATAGAAGATCTTTGATATCTCACACCTCTCATTACGACAGTTTTCAGAAATGTCTAGTCCCTGAGTTTTCCTAGAAAATGCCTAACTTCTGGATTAGTATAACTATTTTTTGGAGTATTTCTTTGAATATATTTGAAATTTTCTCTAGGGTTTCCTTAGGATTATTCCAAAATGTCTTCAGATTAACTTTTAGGAATCCTTTTATGATTCACTCCGGTATTCCCTAGAAATTATCTCCATAACAGTTTCGGAATTCTGTTCAGAACAGTTTTGGAATTTCCTTCAGCAAACTCTTGAAATTCGGGCTACAGTTATCTTCGTCTTCATAATAACTCTTGTGAGCATTTGCTTCAATTTCTCTCCACAATTATTTTTGAAATTCATATTGAACATTCTTCAGAAATCTCTTGTTTTCTCCCAGAATTTCATTTGAATTTACTTCAAAATTCTAAGGGATCTTTCCTGAGAATTCCTTTGAAATTATTCTCAAAATTCCATTAAGAGAATTTCCTTGAAATTACTTGGAATTCACTTAAAACTTTCCTATGTATTCTCTTAGAAATTTCTTCAGGATATCCTTGTACGCTACTCCGAATATCTTTGAAAATATGCTCAAAATTTCCCGTAAATTCAACTATTTGGAAAACTTTCAGAAATTCTCTTTAAAGTTTTATGGATTCTCTTAGGAACTACCTTGAAACTAGCTTGCAATTCTGCAAATATATAGCTATATTCAAAATAAAATTTCTTTGAAATTATTGTCGATGTTGGAGCTCTCCTCAGATTTCTTCTCTTCGAAATCATATCATATATCAAATATTTTCAGTCGCAGGTGATCATTTCTGGTTTGATGTGATTAACATTATCATCATTAAGCTTTTCGTAGGTTTAATTCACTCAGAATTCTCCTTCGAATTCCCTTAAAATGCTGAAATTCCTTCTCATTTGCTGTATAATTCCCTGAATTCAGAACTACCTTCGAATTCTGGATTTCGCCTTATGTTCTCCTTAAAATTTTCTTGAAATACTTCTCAAATTTACCTGGAACTTCTCCTCTGAATCCCTCTAGAATCATTCCTCGACGATTGTCCTCAATCCTCATATGACATTCTCATCAAAATTCTCTAGACAATACAATTCCTCCAAATATCTCTGAGATACATTGTGATATATTTGAGATATTTGGATTTGAATCTATCTCACGTTTAAAGAAAAAAATTGTATCGCTGTAAAAATGTATTGCTAACTAATCCAAGAAAATTCGCTGAAAACGTCTTTTAAATTGGATGCAATTCCAGAGCTTTATTATTTCTTTCCTGCTAGATTTCATTTCTGGCCCACTGTGCATTGGGATAGCACGAAGAATATTATATAAAACACTGAAACAAAACTACACCATTGTTTCATTTGGTATTGGACTTCATCAGCTTCGCCAGTCCAACCTCCACCGGGTCCGGCATCCTTGCCTCGTGATCATAACACTGTACTATACCAGTGAAATCTATCGTACAATGAGATCCTACTACCTGGCGACGATCATCACCATCATCACTATTGAGACACTCGTCACAAGATTCAACATCCCTACACTGTCAACTACGTACCATTTTTCGAGACGCATCTCAGCTCTCAATTTTTCTACGAATTCCTCTTCTTGTTGATCATCCACCAAACCACTCAAGTCTCTAACAATCGCTCATTCCCGCTCCGCCTCCAACAGATCAGCAAAAACTACGGCTGGGCCAGTGGAGGCAGCAGTATCCTGTCCGAGTTCGGTACCCTCCATCTGGAGTTCTCCTACCTGAGCGACATCACCGGTGACTCCGTGTACCGCGAGCGAGTCCAAGCGATCCGGACCGTGCTGAAGGAAATCGAAAAACCGAAAGGTCTCTATCCGAACTACCTGAACCCCAAGACGGGCAAGTGGGGCCAGCAGCACATGTCCCTCGGAGCGCTGGGCGACAGCTTCTACGAGTATCTGCTGAAGGCGTGGATCCAGTCGGGCCACGAGGACGACGAAGCCCGGGAGATGTACGACGACGCGATGCAGGCCATCATCCAGAACATGATCCGGACCAGTCCCGGCGGGTTGACGTACGTGTCGGATTTGAAGTTCGAACGGCTGGAGCACAAGATGGACCATTTGGCGTGCTTTGCGGGTACGGAATGAGGGGTTTCGGGGCGAGTGGAACGAATTGATCCACATTTGCTTTTTTTATATATATACAGGTGGACTGTTTGGTCTCGGAGGTACCACGCTGAACAATCAGTACTCGGAACGGTACATGGAAATCGGAGAGGGTCTAACGAGTACCTGTCACGAGAGCTACGTTCGTACGTACACTCGTCTGGGGCCGGAAGCGTTCCGCTTCAACGATGGTGTCGAAGCGAAGGCGCTCAAATCGCAGGAGAAGTATTACATTTTACGACCGGAGACGTTCGAGAGCTACTTTGTCATGTGGAGACTGACGCACGATCAAAAGTATCGTGACTGGGCATGGGATGCCGTGCAGGTGAGTTCTGTCAGCGAAGGTTCCATAACACTTAGATATTTCAACGGGATGCTGTATCTTTGCAGGCACTGGAAAAACACTGCCGAACCCCGAACGGGTACAGCGGTCTTAAGAACGTCTACCTGACTGACCCGCAGAAGGATGACGTGCAGCAGAGTTTCTTCCTGGCGGAGACGCTTAAGGTAAGGGAAAACCTGAATTCACTCGGAGTTCAAACCGATCGGTAACGAGAACCTATTTCCCTTTTTGCAGTACCTTTATCTAATCTTCTCGGACGATTCGCTAGTCCGGTTAGAGGACTGGGTCTTCAACACCGAAGCACATCCACTTCCGGTGCGGGGACGTAATTTGCTCTACCGTGCGGCAGCTACCTCCAATGCTCCATGAACAACCAGCATCAAACACCACAGGTCGGCACGTGGAGATTTACCATTCCCACGATGGTAGAGGACAAACCCTCCACTCAACCACTACCACACCACTAACACACGGACAGAGGTTGGCGAGGTTATGTCAACATCCACTTTCCCCGTCGCCCCCAATCTCCGAACCAACTCCCGGAGACAGGGACTCACTAAGCAGGGGAAAGTAGTTTAGTCGTGTTCATTTTCGTTGTTGTGCACGTGTGTATGCGAGAAGGAGCGGTGGATGAGCATGTGCGTGTGTAAATTTTAGTGAAAAAGTCTCTTCCTCGATTGTTCGGAGGAAGCAATTCCTTACTTTAATATGAAGAAGAAGAAGAAGAAAACTAGCCAGTCGATTTGTGCGCGAGATATGGATTAGATAACCGAGTCATTGTAGGCGTGTATATTGATAAAAATGTAGGCAGTAAGAAGAGAGAGAGAGAGAATGAGGGTAGGTTAAAACAGGATTAACAAAAACGCGCGCGCTAGCGAGATAGAGAAAGAGTGATTCTTAACTTAATTCTTGAATGATTGTAGTTAATTATATAGGGAAAGATATATATATGAAAAGAATTTGTGATGAAACAAAGGAAACTTATCGATGACGACAATTGTTCTAACTAGAATGTGTTGATATTAGTGAACATAAAAAAAAATCTGCAAATAATCGGAGAAGAACGTTACAACTGAGGAAAATATAAGAACCAAATCAGCTCTGATACCAATATAGTTCAATCTGTTTCTCTTGGATCTTCCATACCTACATAAATTAACCTACTCAAATTAGTTTTTTTTTTCTGAACCTACGCATCAAACTTGTTTAGAAGTGAGGAATAAAAGTTGATACATTTTTAGACGCACTTTGTAAACTGAAAGCCCACCAAAAGCAAATGTCCCATCATTAGTAGTAGAAATTTAGTTTGAGGACGTTCCGAGGAACCGTTCAAGACTAGAATCAAGAAAATCAGTAGCCAACGCTTTAAACGGATGAGACTCAATCAAAATCAGCTGCCGGTTTGAAGATGCTGCGAAATGCAACCACAAGCTTTCTGCTACATCGTTGTTAAACAGGGGTGGTCTGTTTTTTCGAGAAACCCTCACACGACGTATTTGCACATAAAACTATGACAGTCTGATTATCTTTATAGCGACAAATGTCTCTATAACAACCTTTCTATTGGTCCCTTGATATTCCTAATCAAAATCCTATCTACAGTGCTGTTCGATGTCATAGCAGCGCATGCCGATTTTCTTACAAAATTTACAACTTTGACATGTTGTAACTTTGTTCTTTTACGATCAATTGAGCTGAAATGTCACCACAGACTACCGCTCAATGCTACATATTGCCAATATTTACGATTATTGTCAATTAAAACAATCATGTAGGGTCCACTTAATTGCTTCCACCATTTTGTGCAGCAAGACAGTTGAGCTGATCGAAGCTACGAGGCATCACTACAATTTGGAAAAGAAGCCTGGAACGAGAATTTTCGACTGATGCAGCACGTAAAAGGAAGAAGTGAGCACATTTTCCAGGAAGACTATTCCTGAAAGCCACATATAGCTGCACCATAGCTCACATAATTTTGCCACTTTTAGGCAAACTGACAGCGGTTTGACGGATGTATGACAGAACAAAACAGCTCACTCTTTCACACTTGCATTGCAGTGCTGAACGCTAGAAAGAGTAGTCTGTTGCTGTCACCCTAATCCGAGGAGGGGGCGTCACATCTAAAGCGCAATTCTAGATGCTCGAAAAATCTCACACTAGCGAAACAATCTACGAAAAATCTTCTTTCATTTCTCGCATCTACTTGCATCGTGCAACTTTTTTTTGGCAGGAAATCTTCAGAATCGTCATCAATCTTTTTTCTATCTTCTCAGCGTGCGCGCAGCCATAGTTTTCAAATTATTGAGAAAGAGTTGATTTCAATGTTCTTGGTGAAATAATTTATTAGTTATCCTTCGGCTTCTTATCAGGCAGAGAGTTAAAACCACTTTTTTCGTTAGTTGTTACAAGAGTCACTATCATTTATTCCACCTATTCCTGTTATACGTATCTCGCAACCTAGCTGAATTTCGCCTGTAGTATATTCATCTCTTTCTCCATCGGATCTCCTATTCTGCATCGGATTCTTCTTGTTGGTCGTAAGATCAATTCTCGATGAACATTTCAAATGGTCCTATCTGCTTTGATCGATTCTCTTCATCGACTTTCTCTTTTGATAACTACTGCTATGCAAACAGATTTCGCGCTAATTCTACCACATAGTTTGATAAAAGAGGGTCTTATCTAGCGTCCAAAACGTCCAATCAAGCGTAACTATTCAAATCGACTTATCTGCTTTTGTAAACAATCACTTCAATCGACGATTTGTCTTAACTGCTAACTCACCCACGCAAACAAACACCATCATCAGGTAGGGAAATCTTTCCTCTACTAGCAGGTGTTGTTAGTTTCTGTGAGTGAGCTAGCAGTTGCAACAAATCGTCGATTGAAGTGATTGTTTACAAAATCAGATACGTCGATTTGAATAGTTAAGATTGAAATACAACAGGGAAAGGTTTTGCAGCTGAGTTATTGACGAAAGAGAAAGTCGATGAAGAGAATCGATCAATGCAGATAGGTTTGAAATGTTTATCTAGAATTGATCGGAATTGTTATGCACGTTACTACACTTGGGTGGGGGACTAGCATCGATTCAACAGTCATCCATCCTGGGGGATATTGCATCAATAAGGGTTTAAAATTTTCTTTTATCTGTCTCTTAGATGCAATCGATTCATCACTTGCTTCTCTTTGCTTAAAATACGCATCTACATATCTGAAAAATAATTAACTGCTGAACCCGCTGTAGAAAATTAATCAGTACAGTAAGGGCTCGATTATGGCAACAAGTTTCCAATATCTTTATTTGCTTGTGCTCCTTAACTCTATCTAATATTCCTCGGATTATTGTGAAGTTTCACAACTATTAAAACCTGTCGAAAGCTAAGAAGTCAAACTTTATGTGATGATGATGATATGGAACTACCACTCACTATAGCAAGACAACTGTCAGTAGACGGTCGGCTGTCCTCGCTGATAAACTTGATAAAGTTTTATAACCTCTAATTGTATACTTTTTACTTTTAATGCTACTACTATTGTATCACTTTCACTAATTCACTAATCACTTTCTTTATTTACTTTCACTATTTACTTTCGCTATCGCTTGAAAAAAAACTATAACAGATACGTATTTCATTTACTACTTGCAAACTTCTAGATAGAGCTGGAATTAGGGCGTAACAGCCTTTGTAAACAATGACTTCTCTCGTTGATTTCTCGGAATTCAAGGCACGCCTACACAAACCAATATATCCATCGGGTAGGAGAAGTCTTCCTCTACTCGATGGTGATGTTGATTTGCCAGGGAGAGCCATGTCTTCCAAGAAATCATCGAGAGAAGTCATTGTTTACAAAAGCTGTTACGCCCTAATTACAGCTCTATCTAGACTTCGTCAGTGTCTAGTCATAGTTTTCTAAGATTAGTTTGCTCTTCGTTTCTTCAGTTAAGGATTTGGGTGTTATCATCGACTCTAAAGTCAGATTCAATGAGCACATCTCCATGATAACTGCTAAAGCATTCGCCACATTAGGTTTTTTGAAACGAAACACAAACGCATTCCAGAACATCTACGCGCTGAAATCACTATACTGTGCTCTCGTCCGCAGTCTTATAGAGTATGCTGTTGTTGTGTGGGCACCCTTTCACGCTATTCAAGCTAACAGAATCGAAGCAATTCAGCGAAACTTCGTAAGATACGCTTTACGTGTTCTGCTCTGGAACGATTCGGTAAATTTGCCGCCTTACGAAGAACGGTGCAGGCTGATTGACCTGGACACGTTGGCAGCAAGGAGGAAACTACTTCAGAGACTCTTCGTGTTTGGATTGCTTAACGGTGACGTGGATTGCAACTCTCTTGTGAGCCAAATCTACATCAATGCTCCTCAAAGAGTTCTACGTAGTTACACGCTTCTGTGGCAACCTACCCAGCGGACCAACTATGGATTCAACGAACCGTGGACTTTGTGCTGTCGTGTGTTTAATGAAACATTTGATGTATATGATTTTAACATTAGTAAGTCTACTTACAGGCATAGAATTCGACACCTAGCCTAGAAAATATCTGTACAGCATTATGTTGAAGATTTAATTAAATAAATAGACGAATCTATTTTAGTTTTTTGATAGCGATAGTGAAAGTAAATAGTGAAAATGAATAGTAAATTAGTTAAAGTGAAACAACAGTAGTAGAATTTAAAGGAAAACAACGTAATAAGGAATACAATTATTCTACTAAAACGCTCATAAATCAATGTAGACTCTAATTGGCCCGTAACGTGGGTAGATCACCTTTTCGTGGTGCGTTACGGGATGTAAGATCTACCACCGATTCCTAGTCCTGACTGCTTCAAACAAGGGAACAGGATTTTTTTCAGTAATCAAAGGAACACATCTTAGTCCTTCCTACTTTATAAGGCTTGTAGATAGTGACAAGACTTTGACCTTGAATCAAGGAAAACATGAGTTAAGTTAAAGAACCTTAATATCTATCCAAAAATACAATCAACATCCTTCCTAACACTTAAACACGAGGGACAGAGATATCTAGAAGTTCACGCTCAATCCTCTGATAGTCCCGTGAGATCAAGTTAGATTCCGCATCCCTTTACCATGGCATTAAACTTCTCCAAGTTAATACACCTTTTCTGATACTTAGCAGGAATAGGTATAACAGGTACAGAACCTTTGATCTTCAAATTTGCTAGGGATGGAAGGCCGTTAGCCGTGCACCATGGCTTTGCAGCAGCCACCAGATTTGGAATGTCCGCCGTCAGGATTAATCAGCTTATAGTATGTCCATGTATGTTCTCCATAATTGTTAACCAATTTTGTCTTCTTATCCTCAAATACATCATATTCCGGAATGAAAGCCACATCGAAATGAAGTTGAGTGACAATAGCAGCACCAATAAACTTGATTACTGCCAAGAATGAAGAGAGGTTAGATTCTCTGAGGAAGTTACAGGCATTTTGTGACACAGGATCATTATTTGAGATGACCTGTTGAATTATAAAGATCCGATATCGATACGAGAAATTACAGTTCATTGCCTTGAGACCTAAAAGCTGACTCCTAATGTGCCATTTCTCCAGTCTTTGTAAAGCAGAACAGTACCAGAAAACCTATACAGAGCCTGATGTTCGAAGAAATTCTGAAAATTATAGTCAGATCGAAGCATATCATCCGGTGACACCATCTCTGCATGGCCATCATAGTGATTGGCATAATCCCTATGGAAACCAATGAAATTGGGAAGATGATACAAAGCTAGCATGTTGACGGTTGGGACCCTCTTGCAGGTACAGTGTAAGTGTACCTACCTAGTCGCAGCTTGCTTGGAAGACCATTGAACAAGAAAGTTCGTTGTTACATCGTCAGAATAGATCTTGATCTTTTCTACCGGAACATAGTTCTCGGCAACTATCTCAGGAACTTCCTCATCAAGAACTTGGACTTGCTGGCTCTGTCTAGTAGGGCATAGGAATTTAACGAGATGGATTTCTTGCTGCTCTGGATGTCCACAACAGTGGCATCTACAACATCATAATCACTGGTTGTGATGAATTCATGCTCATTATCTTTCATCTTCCCTACTTTTTCTTCACCTGATGACTCCATTCGGTTGCAAATGAAATTGATTTTTATCCAACATTTGCAAGTGATCTCCTGCTACACCTGGCATCCTCTGCTTAAGACCAGTTAAGAATTTCCTTCCACTGATAATTTGAACTCGGGATAATGCATCAGCAACTACGTTAGATTTACCTTTTTTGTAGAACATTTGATAATCATGCTCTTCAATATAAGCTTTCCAACGCTTCAGCCTAGCATTTTTTTAGGATAAAGTGCAAATGTTAGCGGCATATGATCTGTATAGATAATTATTTTTGCACCGTAAATAAAATTTCTGAACGAATTCAAAGCCCAAACTTTTGCTAATAACTCCTTCGGTTAATGATAAAGATTTTAAAATAAAAGATATCGGTCTTTCTCCTTCTATAATTGATTGAGAAAGAACAGCACCTAATGCTTTATCAGAAGCATCGGAAGTCAAAATAAACTCTTTTGAAAAATTTCGAAATATTAGAACATCTTCAGAAGATAAAATGTTTCGAATTGTATCAAAAGCCTGAACTGCTTCGTCGTTGAAATTTATTTTTTTTAATTTTTGGACTCATACTTTGAAATACGGCGAGGGTCATCCTCTCCTCTTAAAAGGTTCGTCAAGGGTTTGCAAGTTTTGCGTAATCCTTGATGAATCTTCGATAATACCCTGAAAGGCCAAGAAACATTCGCAATTCTTTAAGATTCTTTGGTTGGGGATATTTCTGGATAGCCTCAATTTTCTTGGGATTTGGTTTAAGTCCATTGTTACTGACGATAAATCCTAAAAAACTCAACTTCAGTTTTCATAAATTCAGATTTATCAGGCTGAATACGAAAATTCGCATTTTTAAAGTATTAAAGATTGTTTCTAGATTCTGTAAATTTTCTTCAAG